CTATATATATATCTCTCTCTCTCTCTCTCTCTCTCTTTCTTTCTCTCTGCTTCTCTTCTCGCTCTCGCTCTCGCTCTCGCTCGCTCTCTCTCTCTCTCTCTCTCTCTCTCTCTCTCTCTCTCTCTCGCCTCCCTTGTCTGGTTCTTTCTGGCTCCTCGCTCTCGGCAGGGTCGGTGCAGCAGACATAGCATAGATCGATCCAATGCTAACAAAGTACTTCAAAAGCTGTTACCACCATCATATTCGCCTGCATGGGAATGTCATCGAACACTTCGCACAGACCATGAGCAAGAGCCTGTAAAGCTTCAGCATCGTGTTGCAAGATGTGGGACCATCAGTCGATGGGGCTACGAGCCCTCTTGCAAGCAACAGGGGTTCTTGTCTGTCAAGCTCTAGGACTCTAGGATAAAGTGTGTGAGGGTGATCTTGGATCTTGGAGTGGTCAAGCTTGCAGGATGGATCCGAGAACGCTTGTCTTGTGCCAGAAAAGTGAGCATTGCAGGAATATCAGTTCGCGGTAAACCCGGCCAGGTTCTTCTCGGTGTGGGTGATTCTTCTGGCCATGGGAGTGTTCTCCTCCTTCATCAGCTCTATCACCAGCACGGTGAGCTCTCTGCGAACAGCGCGGCAGGAGAACTTCCAGCAACAATCAAAGTTGCTGCGCTTCTTCAACGAGCGCAATCTGTCAATCGATCTATATGGTCAGGTGCAGGAGTTTCTTGGGAAGCAAGGAGTGTTGGAAGTGCGATTGAAGGAGTCCGATGTCAGTCTGATTCAAAACATACCGGAAAGATTGAAGATGCAGTTGCATGATGAAATGTTTGCCTCAACCTTGTACTGCCTGGGTATGTGGCCAACTTGGAGCCAGACGCGTGACCAGCCATTCTTTCGCAACCTTTGCCACCATGCCATGACGGAGAATGTTGCTACTCCAACGCAAGATGCTTTCATGTCTGCTACAGACTGCACCGGTGCTTATGTTCTGCAGTCTGGTTCCATGCGATACCTGGCAAAGCAGAAGACATCATCGCAAATCATGGACATGGTACGACAGAAGATTGATCAGGGTGCCGTTCTGTGCCTGCCAAGCTTGTGGGCAGACTGGCAACATCGCGGACGTTTGACGGCAGAGTACGGCACGTGCTACTACATGAAGATTGATGCTGAAAAGTTCTGCAGTATTGCCACCCAATACGGCGGACCGCTTTGGCAGTGCTTGCAGATTTTTGGCATTTTGCTCATCGGTGCTGTTGACAATCGAGATGAGCAAGGCATCATGATTACCGACCTCGGTTTCGAGGAGAAGGAGCTAGACCGGGTCGTAATGCGAGCACAGCGAATCGCAGCCATCATGAACGCGCATGCAGACGGGGATGTTTTGGTCGCCTCAGCTGCCTCAGATCATCTGTTTCTGGCAGAAGGGCGCTTGCCAAGTGGGCTGAAGTCCGTCGAACTCTGAGGATTTAGGGGTTGTTTTTAATGCTCAAGTCGCCGAAGGCGAGTATTTGGGCCTCAAGCGTCAAGCTTTCGCAGAATTCACTGCGGTGCAGCGCGGCACGTGAAGTTTGCCCTTCTGGCAAGCCTTCTTCACTGCTGCTGGTTGCGACTGCATAGGTGGGGACGGGTCAACGAAACCCCTGGATCCTGTCTCACTGAGGCACCTGAGAGTCCCTCTCTTGCCCTCGATTGCAACGAAAGTCCCCGCCGGGAATCCTGCGGAGACTCCTAGTGTCATGTGACCGAGTGGGATTTGGACAGAGCTTTTGTCAAAATTAAAGTCTAAAAGGATAAATGGAAAGCTGCAGCTCTTGCAGCAAAGTCAGAGACCATCCTGGTTTTGCTGAGCCAAGACAGCGATCTTCACCCAGTAAGGCGTTTGCTCAATGGCCTCAGCACGCTCAGCGCCACTGCTCCGGGCAGCTCGGGGCCGCCCTGGGTGGAGGACGTCTACGGCCTCGACCGCTTCGAAAGGACGGGAGTAAAGCCTTAAGGCCTAGAACGAGCCATGTCGTGTCTTTCGAGTTCATTTGGGTACCACCACGAGAACTCTCCGAGGAATGCGAGCCAAAGTGCCGCTGAGTTTGGCCCCGAGGGGAAGAAACGGGAGCGGCTTGGCAGAACTTCGTCAGCGAAGGAAGTCAGGGAAGAACGCCTCTGCAAACAAACCAAGGCTTTCCAGGCCTTTCGCGTTTCCAGATCTGCCCCTCCGGAGCACGCGAAGAGATTCGGAAAGGAGCCAAAAAAGCGTGCCAATCCTTCGAGAACAGTCCTCCGGTTTCGCTCGAAGTGCCACGGACTGCATTGCCCCATTAACTGAGCACGACCCGGCGGAAGTGCGGCAGACAAGTTCACCCAGCATGTCTCTAAATTCGCAACATGGGTCATGGCAAAGTTTAAAGCACAGCTGATGCTGGCTGCTCCCCCCTTTCCCTGCAGTTGCTGAGCATGGGCTATGCCACCTGGTTTCTGTTGCGGGAAACTTAGACGAGCAAGTTGATGCTAGCGAAACTTGTGCTTCAGCCACTCGGCCACTTGCCTTTCGATAAGGCCAGGACTTGTCATTGCTCAGGACGCTGGCCGCAGCCCCTGGAGTTGTGAGCATGCAAGTGAGCACGGTTATGCTGTGAGTACGTAGCTCAGGCGATGACAACTCCACTAACTTCACTAACAGCACCCCAAATTGCGTCTTGTCAGAATTGGAATGTAAAATGTACTAAGCAACTACCATGATCATCTTTGGGGTACCTTTAATCCTGCCAGTTTTGGTACCGTGTAAAGTGCTCCAATGCTTCTTTGTCGAGGACCTGTCGCAGTGTGAGAGAAAGCCAAAGCTGAGGTACGGACAACTTCACTGCTTGGAATGATTCGAATTATACTGGCTTGCCGCCCTGTCCGGCAGACGCCTGTCAGCAGTAGGCTTGTTGATGCTTGTTGCTACAGTAGCAGTCCTGCTAAGTGCCAGTTCGTATGGCCGTTGAGGTGCCTGCGCCTCCGTGTTACACGGACAATTGCTGGGGCACGATTGCAAGAGAGGCGATCAATTCGTGCATGGAGCTGCTTGTCGATGACACTGGCAGCAATTTGGGCTGTTCTTTGAGATGGCTCGACGCTGGTAGTATCAGCAGATGAAGGTTGCCGCTGCCCGCGGTACAGTAGGGCATGGTGTAGTGCTTCGCAAACGACACCGCTTGTCACTCCAAGTTTTGCCAGCTTCAGGTTAACGAACTGGGGTGCAGACGCAGGTCGCTGCCAGTTTTTCATGGAGTCGGCATCGCAGGTGTGTAAGGCCCTTACTCGATTTGGTTGCATATCTCATGCCAACAGTACATGGCAGCACAGATTGCTGAGATAAGAAGGCCGATTGCTCTTGTTTTCCAGGCTCAGCTGGGCACAAAACAGGATGCATGCACCAGGATCTGTGCAAGGGCAGTGCTTGTAGCACCATATTGCTTCCAAGGCAACGCAACATGTTTCTCGGTGGCACTTACAGTTTTCGAGAAGAAAGCTACGCCGCAGTGTGCGTGTGTGCCTGCAGACACTGATTCATGTTCTGCATTTCACATCGACAGTGGTGAAGAGCGACATGAGTTCTTGTTCATCCTGACAGCTGTCTTGGAAGGTCAGGACTGCAACGAGATAGCATCCGCCATGCAACCTGGATGAATGATGATTTCTTTGCTTCTGGCGGAGCTTCGGCTTGATAATCGCTAGTACGCCGAAGGGTTGGCTGCAAATTACGGAATCAACTTCTTCTGCCGAGGTCTCAACGTTCAAAAATTGAAAGGATGCAGCAGCATAGTTGCTCTGTCAGATCAGTCTTCGTTGCAAGACCAGCAAGACCACAGATTGCCTTCAGTATCCAAGACAGCCACAGTCAGAAAGTTGATACGCTGGGGAGAAAATTTTATTTTGTGTACCAACAGTAGCGCTGTCCTCAGCGGCTACAAAACTATCGCCACCATGACCACGAAGACGACGGTTCGTAGACGGTCTCACGGTAGACTCAGGTGCCCTAAGATCTTGCATCATCGTAGCATTGAGGGTGTCACCACCTTCAGCCACGTTTCTGCTGCGTTGGTCTTAGCTGACGAGGCGTTGCCATACTGATTCTCATGTTGGATGCTGCACTGCATTGAATCTTCCGCCTTCCATGCAGCTGGTGCTTGCGTCTGCCTGCATGTGCCAATCGGCCAATCGACCTGAGGTATGATGAATGCCTTTTCACACTTCTGGCTGCAACGGTTAACTTTGATGATGCCATACCCACATGCGAGGCGTCTTGTTCGGAAGTCTGTCGATCGCTGATCTTACAGAGTTTCTGGGTTCAGGATCTTCAGGCTTGGACCCAGTTTCGCCTCCTTCCACTCCATAAATATATACTGCAATCATCATCGTTTTCGTTGGTTCGCTTTTGGCAAAAATGTGGGTTTGCCAAGATGAATTTGCGCCAGGGCTTGGCGGCAGACTTCCGGGATCTTCGATGCCCCACAGCGCTGATCGACGTCACATCCACCTGCTACACACAGGAATACCAAGAGCCTCAACTCAGGATTTTTCATGCCTCATGAAAAGGGCTCAGGAGGCCGCTTTTTTCGAAAAGATTGCTCCAAGGATTGTCAGGCTCAATGCGGCAATTGGCACAAGTGTCACTGCTGGAAGTTGAGGCTCCGACCTCAGATTGCTGGGGCGGGGGCTGGCGCTTTGCACACAACTGTCACAGCGAGGGGCATTCCTGGCGAGCCAGACCGCTGCGAGGGTGAGACCGAGCTGCTGCGCTGGGATGGTGTGCCAGATAACTGCACCTGGCCTTCATGGACTCTTTGGACTCTAATTCCGAGGTTGGGTATTAAGGCGTTGAACTGTCCGGTTTCTCACTGAGGTGATGCCATGCCTCGGTCAGAAGCCAAGCACACGGAGTATCAGCTTGTCGCCAGAAATGGTGCCCAGACCATTTTGTTGCTTCTGTCAACTCTGTCAACTGGCATTCTTGCCAAGATCCTGCTTCAACCATCGACCGGGCAGTTTCTGCGCGCTCTACAGACATTGTCAACCGGATCTGTGTATTATCCAGGCCAGTACTCGTACGAAAGCACGTGCGCAAGAGTCTACTCCGTGCATCTTGATGGTTTTGACGGCTACTCGCTATCGCTGCTTGCCAGGACAAGGTGTGCCAACTCACGGACAGTTGCCAAGCCGTGGCAGTTTGTGAGCCAAGTGCCTGCCTCGACTACTAATTTGACTCTAATTCGGTACTGCAGGGGGTGGTGCAAAAGGCATGCACTCTCTGAAGGTGATGGCGAGTGCTACTACACCAGCCGACCGGATTTCACACCCTGTGATGACGGCCTGCACTACACGCACACGGACATTTGCAACTTGCTTCGGAGCTCTGCTATGATTCCACTGATCTAACGAGCTCGTGAGCTTTTGCCAAGGCATCGGGGCCGTTTGCAGCGGAATCGAGGACAAGTGCATCCGCTTCAATGTCACGTGATTCTACTGCAAGCGGGATTCCCACGAAATCACTGAAGTCTGGCTTCAGGCGTTGGATCGCCTCCAAGCGAGCAGTCTCGAGTGTGGCGCAGCAAAGGTGCCAGACCTTGAACAACTGCCTGGTTCCGACGGGCAAAGTCAGGGTGCGCCAGCTGTGGGGTTTTCGGCTTTTGTAAGGGCTAGCAGCGCATGGGAGGGCACATGGGTCAAGAGGGATGCCTCATTCAAGTGGCGACGGCAACCCGCTGCAGTGTATTGCGTGAGAAGAAGACACCCCAGCTTGCTGCAGAATGCATGCGACCCATCGACCGGGAGCTGTGTCTTCGAAGCACGACCAGACGGTACTGCCTGTAGCAGCCAGTGACATCCTCAGAATTTGGCAGGACATCACAAAATTTCTACATCTTAGCAGAAGCCCTCTGAGTGGCTCGAAGCTGAGGCCCGGTGGCCTCATCGATGGCACCTGCGACGCCGGGCTGTGCCGGCGAACAGTGTGAACCTTGGACAAGCCACGCTGCGCTGAAGCTCTGCTGCGGTCTCTGCCCACCGTTAGGTGCTGAACAAATGTTTTGGAAAGGTGTGTTCCAGCAAGGACCTTTCACATGTGCACAAGACGTCCTTGTGAAATTGTCACGCATTGTGACGCTTGTTGAGTTGCGGAGGATGCTTGCGCTGGAGTATCAGCGACTTGATGGCACTTGTCGAAACAATCCGACGAATCTTTCCGCACAGGATGCGATGTGACACGCAAGCCTTGAGGCCTGCGATCCATGGACGGGGGAGTGCATTTCTACTCCCGAGCCCGAGGGCAAGGCACAGATCCAGAAGACAGGGTTCTTCTTCTCCTGCTTAAAGCCCTCCAGGAGTGTGACGACGGCAATCCCAACACCTATCGAAAACGTTGTGTCGAGGGCCAGCTCTTCGACTGAACTTATGCACCATGCAACCGAAGGCCTCTGCTTGCTCGGGTCTGAGAGCACTCAGGTGCGTTGGAGACCTTATTCAAACACCTTTGTATGCCTTCCAGGGCTGGCGGAGTTGCGACCACAGTCACTGGGGTTGCAGTGTGCATACAAGAGGCTAGAGTCGGCTAGAGGTGGGCAGTGACATGCCTTCGCTGCGAACCGGGCGTCGAAGGCACAGTGGTCGAAGCCTCCGGCATCGATTTCACCACTGTCGAGCGATACTTCGGCAACGTTCTCGCAGAGACAGAATGCGAGGACTGGCCGCGCTGTAGGGCTCTAGGACCGAGAGAGCTTTGGTCGCGGGCAATGGCATCCACGTGCACCGTGCATCCATGTTATCATTGCCACTCCCTCCCCAAAGTTCAAAGGGCACATGAGCTGGATCGTAGTTGAACAACACCTTGCGAGCTTCCGCTTTGATCTGTCAGTGTTGCCCTAGAAGCATTCTGCTTCGGTCAGGCGGAGCTGCCCACTGTATGTCCGTGCATTATACTGCAATTCCAGAGGCGTTTTGAAGCATATTTGCGTCCTTCGCAGGAGCAGTGCTCCCAAGATGCGCTCTGTCGGGCCTACTCGCAGCTGGGCGAAGACTAAGATATTGTGCAATCTTTGCTCTCCGCTCTCCCTCGTTTCCAAGAGAGACTCCTTGACGTTCTTGAGGCTTCAAGATCCACTACACTACCTGTAGTAGAGCTGTGTTTTCCGAATTGATTCAAGGCCGAAGTTCTAGGTGAGCCAGAGATTTGCTTTGTACTCTGAATTCAGGTATGGTTACTACGTTTGCACCTCTTCTGCAATTAACGAGGATGCGGCCTACGCCATGGAATAGGGTGAAGCAGTGTTTCTTGTGCGTCACGGTTTCGTGATGATGCCTTGATGCATTGATGCGAGCTGTGTGGGCGAGCGCATGTTTGAGCACCCTGCCTGCAAGGCTACATCTACGGAGGCTGGCCTTTCATGAGCAAGCATGGCCATGTGCCGGTTCGTTTACAGACCAAGAACCCAGTTTCATGTCATGTAAAGTGCTTGGTGTGGGGATGTTGCATTAACCTGCCTGAGGACCACGCACCATAGATCCCAGTGAGGAGTATTGGGGCAAGCTGCTCGGAACGTGTTATGACAGGGGTGTTGAGATTTCGAGGTCGTTTTGCATCAAGTTGCACCTTGTTTGTTAGTCCTCGGGCTTGATGTCTAGCCTACATCACCGGCGCAGTGAGACTCCTCACCATTCCTCGCCCAAACGGCTGAGCTGTCGCAAAAATGCTATCCTTTCCCAAGAGAGAAGTACAGAAGTTAACGTCCAGAACGCTTTCATGGTGATGGCTGCTCGCACCTGTAGAAACTGTGTTGGAACCACGGAGCGAATTCAACGTAGCTGCAAAGACGCTGAAGTTTCTCGCGTCATTGCAGTGTCGAGTCGTCGCTGAGGAAGTGGATGCGACTGGAGCCCGCTGCAATGCCTGCTGTCAGTCATGGCATCTCTTGCTTTGTCAAGCAGGACTGGCTTGTGCAGAAATCTCTCTCGCTCTCGCTGTCTCCCCTTCCCCTCCCGTCTCCCTTCTGCCCTTTCGCTTTCCCTTCCTCGTCCCCTCCTTCTCTCAGTCCTTCCCTTTCCATGTTCTCCATCCTCCTCCCCACCTTCCCCGTCCGCTCCCTTCCCCATCTTCCGCTTCCTTTGTGTCCGTGTTCTGCTTCTTCTTCCGCTTCTTCCCTTAGCAGCTGGTCGATGACTGCTATGTGATGATTGTGCCCGATTGAAGAGTGGCATCTACGGCCAGGACAGCGAAAGGGCCCGACCATTCATTGATGAGAAGGCTGCGTGGTTCTTCATCACTGTTCTCATTGTGGCCGAGCGCCCAGAACTCTTGACATGAAGTCTCATGGAACAGTCCCCAGTGTGTAGAACGAGGTTGTCTTGCCAGCCTTGTGGGGCCTTGTGATGGTCTGGAGCCCCCTCTCGCGCTCCTTCAGGCCCGGAGTGTATCATCGAAGTTGGATGATGTTAGGTGGTATGTGCTGGCTGGCCAGGTCACTCACCGGTTGCTGCGGTGGGGTACCAGACGATGAGGAGCAATCCGCTGTTCGCAGACGAAGTCGGAATCCCACTCAAATCAGTTGTGGCAGCATACGATTCGTGCCAGGAGTTTGAGGAGCCCGTAAAAGAAGGCCCGACCGTGGAATCTGCAAACTCTGCCAAAACGTCAGCCATTCGCGCGGGAGTTGAGTTTGGTGTCAACATAAAGGTGGACCAATGAGGCAGACTCGAAAAGATCAGCTGAAGAGATCGTCGCACCATGGTTGCAGCAAGTCCGATGAGAGGTGGTCGAGCAGCTCTAGATTTCGAGGGCGTCGCTCTCTCTGGCTTCAGCTTGAGCAGTCGGAGCAGGGGGGTGCTTTGCCTTCGTGGCCAGGCTATTCTGTGTGCGAAGCTGCTGTTGTTCGGGATGTCGTTACAGCCTCTGGAACAAGAATAATGCGAACTGCTGGCCAAGATTGCTAGAAGACCGACAGGCTGCGCATGAGTCTTTTCTAGGTTTCCTCGGTTCATGTGCATGACTAAGCCATCGATTGTGTACGAACTGTGCCAGCTCGTCTGCCGCGCTGCTGACTGTGACCTAGCTGTGCATCACTCGACGTGTCAACAGAGCCAGTACGTCGCCTGAACCGAAACTTCAGGGTTGATTTTCTGGGAGAGCGGAAGAGTGTTGTCCGAGAAGGTCACAGCTCTCCATCTCCGACGGGAACTCCGACTCTAAGGTCCTTGCCACAGGGGAGGCCTAGGGAGCTCGGAGAGTTTCCATTCCATGGATTTCTGCATTGACGTCTCTTCCTGCTATGTCCCTGCAGGTATACTGGCCAGAGGCTGGATGTCAGCACGAGAGTTGTTGGGGGCACATAAATCACGAATTTGACTTTGCACACTTCTGCATCCGATTTGCCCAAGAACTCTCATGCTAGACGTGCCAGCAGTCAGTAGTTTTTGTGTCCCAGCGTTGTCGCCCTTCGCAACGCAACAGGATGACTTGCCATCAGAGAGCAGTTCGCGGATGATTTTTGGATGCACTTACCATGCCTGCTATGGCTATGCACTGCCCTTGACTAACTTGAACGTGCGCTTAAGCGATGCAGCATTCCTGCAAGGAGTGTGGATGCTCTTGCAGATCATCCTAGTGCCGTGCCATCGGATGATCTCGAGCAGGTCAAGCTACACAAGGCGGGAAATGTCGTAAACTATCATCGGTTAACCAGTTGAGCATGCCTAGACAGGGATCGTGGACTTGTTTTGCGAGTGTGTCTGGACACAGCAGTTCCTCTGGAGTCTGGCTTCGAAAATAAGGATGTGCTCCCTCTTCTAGCTTTGGTTAGTGACAGACCAATCACTTAAGAGGACGGTACTACGAAACTCCATGGCAAGTTGGTGTGAATGTATCAAGCGTCACGTGAGGGTCGAGAAGGATGCGGGATGATCTTCAAACAGCAAGCAGGCGGCGGCTGCAGAGTCTCCTCGTTCGCCGAACGATCCCCGTGGCCAGGTGCAGCAGGCAAGCCGAGCTTATTGTCTGCAATCCAAATTTCAAGCGTGCCGGATGAGACTTTGCGAGGATCTCGCAAAACAGGGCTCTGCCGAGGAGCTATCCACGGAAGCGAGCAAGAACAGCAAGGACGGGTTAAGCTTGCTTCGAAGGGTGAGGTTCCTCCAAGCCTCGTCATGGTCTGCGAGGAGGAGCCGGGTGGAGCATAGCTGGTCTCAATCTGTCTCGTGGCCTGCAGACCCGCGAAGCGGATTGCCACCGTGCGCGAGCACAATTGGTCGCAAGGGCACCTGACCTTTCCCGACTCATGGGCGGCGGCCTGGGCCAGTGCAAGCAAGAGACTAAACCAAAAGGCTGGGGCAACAGAGTACCGCAAAGGCCCAAAGTAGTATCGTCTCACCACATCACTCCGCGGACAAGCGATTTTTTTGGGACAGCATCCGATGAATTCGATGCGCGCCTCAGGTGCAGCGAGCACCTCTCCTTCTCCTTGAAATGTAGTTGCTAAGAAGCTTGTCACCGGCAAACTCTTTCCACTCAAGACCAGACTTTATGATTATGGGCATAGCATAATGAGCGGACAGTGCATGGCCCATAATGTGCTTGTGCTCAGCAGACATCGTAGCTCATGTCCCCATGCACCAAGTGCACGGGGGCAGCTCAATTCGAAGATGTGCGAGTGTTCGTAGTTCGACGCTGGTTCCTGAGATGTAATGCTACGCTGCCTGTCCTCATATTATATTGACTTGCAGCCACGATTAGCCGGTTCGACTCAGGGCAAGGTCTAACATCTCAAGAACCATGATATCTGCTTCGCGAGTTCCCCTGCACGTTATGGAAAAAGCATATCTGAACTCTGGCTGCCCCAGATTTGCGAAGCATGCTGTCCAGTGCTTCTTGGCCTGCACTACCCCTGCATTGCTTGTCGTCCCTAACGTTTGTGCGAGTTTATACTTTAGCGTTTCGGACAGTCTTCTGACGATGCCAAGGCAGATGCACTCTTGCTACTGCCATGGTCCTTGCTCGACGGTCAAAGACCTGCTGCAGGAGGATGCTGACAGCGTTGATGGAAACGAGGCCCCACCTGACTACCTCGTTCCAACGCCGAGGAGGTTTGATGTGACGAGCTCAGAACAGCAGGTGTGCGAGCTTCGCGAGGTGCTGCGGTTCTGACAACTTAGAGAATGCTGCCAGTGCTGCACCAGCTACGCACCCAGCCACACCCAAAAAGCAACGTGTATATGGTTGCGCACAGGCGGGCCCACCCCTTCCTCCCGGGTGAAGAGGATATCGGAAAACAAAGGGCGAAATCAACAAAACAAAATCGGAAAACGCCCAGGGCGTTTTCCGAAAACGCCCGTTCAGGCACACAAACCCAAAATCAGAAAACAGCGAAGACGATATCAGAAAACAAGCCCAGAATCAGAAAACAAAATCGGACAACAGGAAAGGCGAAAATCAGAAAACGCGTGTAACAAAAAATCAAAAAACACACAAAAAAGTCCCTATACGACACTAAACCTTCAACAAATCCTGCCCTGACTTTGCGGTGGTTTTTCTACGACCTCATGTTGGCAGACATGGACCAGCACGAGGCGCAGCCTGGTCGGGGTCCTTTCACCCCTCAGTTTTGGCCACAAACCGAGAGGTGAAGGAAGGCCGCGGTCCTTTCACTCCTCGGTGTTGGCCACAAACCGAAAGGTGAAGGA